AGAGTGAAACTTAGCTTCTTAAAACTGAAGAAGCCTGACAGATCCATCATGTCTGGAAATCCTGGCCAGGATCAGAGATAGAAGTTACAGTTCCTGAAAGGAATGTTTTATTTCAGAGCTGTTGTAAGATGGAAGCTGGTTTATGAGCTGGTAATTTACTCTGCAGTTCTGTCTCAGAGTATTGTCTAGGTCCTTGCAACACACTGAGCTTCCTGGTGATCTTAGATAATGTTTCCAGCAAAATCCAGAGATGCTGCTGAAGTGCAGCTGGAGGGTTGGGAAACCTTCACATAAAAATGACTGCAATAAACTTCAGGAACTGGAAGGATCCCCAGCAGTCCCTGTGAAATGGGAGAGTGAAATCTTACAGAATCTGGGGCTGGTGCTGCTCACTGCAGCAGAGCCAGAAACTGGGATGGGAGGATGGAGAGTTCGGGGGATGTGGATGTGGAGGAGGAGAAGGAGGAGGAGGCAGATGGTTCCACAGTTGTTTCAATGAGGCCTCTCCCTTTGCCTGTGATGAAACAATTACAAACTCTGTCCAAAGGGGAGGATGGACTATTTAAGCCTGAGCTCCTGCCCAAAGGGGAGGATGGACTATTTAAGCCTGAGCTGCTCACCCAGCACCGGCAGGAATTCATCAGCATTTCAATGCCCGGCTTCTCTTGTGCTCTGCACAGCCCAGATTGGCTGAAGCAGAGGCTGCAGGAGAATTTTTTCCTTTGGCAGTGTGGCAGCAGGAAGGGGCTGGGGCTGTGGCTGAGCACACACCAGCTCCTCTCAGCCCCCAGGACCACCTTCCCCAGCTCCACACCCTCCCCACACTGTTGTATTTGGGAGAAACCACCGAGGCTGCTGAGCACATTTGTGGGGTCACAACTGGACTGTTGTCCCCCTTTTTGGTGCTTCATTGGGATTGTTTTCCATCCTTCCTGCTTCGGGTCAGGTCTTGTTGGAAAATTCAATTCTTCTATGCTGCTACACAGAGAAAAACTATGAAATATTTACCTGGGGAATATGACTCATTCTCATAATTATATGTTATAAAATAATTCCCATTATATGATCATCAGGCAGTTTTATTATCACCAGGTAATCCCATAGGATTTCTCCATAATAGAAAAGAAAGCCAGGCTGTGCAGTGTGACTGTGTTTGAGGATGAACATCATTCTTGTTTGTACTCTGCTCTTCATTCCAGTGAGCTCCAGCTGCCTGACACATAGCATTAAGCTGTTCTCTTTCCCATTAAAATTTAAATGATGAGAATCTTTTTCTTATCCAATAAAAAGCTAGATGTTTGAAAATGGAAAAATCTGATTTAGATCAGCTGTAATGTATTAGAGCTCAATCACATTTATTCTTTCAATAGTGGATTAACTGAGAGTTCTAAGCAAAAAGTAATTCCTACCCAACAATTCATAATTGCTCACTCTGTAGTGAGGGTACAATGTGTTTGGAATCTTTTGTCCCCCCACTAACACAGCTGTGGGTGCCTGGCAACAGTTCCATCCAGAAATATTTGAGGTTGAAAATGCTCGGTTCCAACAATTTCCCGTGAAAAGTGTGATTTTCTATAAATGTGTTTTCATAATTAGAAATAATTCTGTCAAAAGATGGTGCCTCATACTTCTCCAGGCATGGGGCTCCTAACCAGAGTGCTTGGGTTTGTTCCCACAACCCAAAGCACATAGTATTGTTTTAGATCTCAGTGATATTCTGTGAAAATCATCTGCAAGTGGTGGCTTTGGCAGTGCTGGGTGAAGGACTAGACTCGAGGATCTTAGAAGGATTTTCCAACCTAAATAATCCTGTGATTCCCTTATGCCAAAAAAAATATTTAGGCTCTTTGTAAGTGAAGGGTTTTAAAATATCTGTTTTGAAGTGAGAAAGTCCCGCCTCTCCTGAACTATTCTGCAAGACAGGGTGTAATCTTGGTGTCCACCCACACCCCAAGGTGTGTGGTCACAGGGAACATCCCTGGAATCTGTCCTGTTGTGTCCAATGGTCCCTATGCAGCACGTTCAGCCACTGCTCAGTTAAAGCTGGGCTTGGCATGGGCAGGTGACCTGCTGCCCTCTGGGAAGGGCAGTGGGAGAGTCCAGTGCAGCCAACATCCCTCCTTTAGGAAAAGCATCATTCCTGCCCACATTCTGCCTGATCTGTTACTCATTCCCTATTGCAGAGCCGAGCAGTGATGAAACATTAAAGAGCACCTTCAAAAGCTCCACCACCCAACAGAGAGATGGTGGTTGTGATAGGAGCAGTAATTAGGTGAGTCAGAGCTGTAAGAAACTTTCAGAGCACAAACCCTTTGGTTTGGAGCGGCTTCATAGTGGGTCCAAACAGCCCCTGGCCCAGCTCTCTCCCTGGGGTCTCAGCTGCAAGACCCTCAATTAGCAAAGCGTCATTACAGCACATTTACAACCCGTGAGGAGACCCTGCCTTTCACTGTGCTCCCACTAACGACACAATGCAAAATACTCCGGTGCAGTTTGGAAAACAAACAGGTATTAACAAACTGGTGAGCGAGTTTCAGTCTGCGCCCATCCCGCCCACCCCCGCACGGGAGCACACCTGGGATGTGCGGGAGGCAGGGGGACACCTGCGCCATCCCTGCAGTCCCACACAAAACCGGGACCCCTGCACCATCCCTGCAGCGCCACACAAAACCGGGACCCCTGCGCCATCCCTGCAGCGCCACACAAAACCGGGACCCCTGCGCCATCCCTGCAGTGCCACATAAAACCGGGACACCTGCGCCGTCCCTCCAGTCACACACAAAACCGGGTCACAGCAGCCTCGTGAGAGTGTGACCATTGAATTCCGGAGGGGCTGGAGCAGGATGCCAGGGCTGTGTTTGGGGCACTGGGGTGTCCCCAGCACATCCCCCTCGGCTGGGAGGGGACCAGCCGAGCCCCCAGCGCTGCCTCTGCCGCAGGAGCCGAGTGCCCTCTAGAGAGCACCAGCAGCGCAGGTCATTCATCCTGCATCTCCAGAAAATCCAAATATCCCGTGTGCTGACACGTACAATGTGTCGGGATCCCTCGGCATGGTGAGCTCGGTGGCACAAAGGGAGCGCTGCCCACCTGGGGGGCTGGACAGGGCTGAAATTGCTGCAGATCGTGGATCAATGCATTTTTATATCATTTTAATCACATATAATTGTACTTGTGTTGGATAGGCTAACAGCAACTACTTCCACTTAGCCACAGTCGGGATTAGCCCTTATTTAATTTAGCGTCTCTGGGCCCCTTAGGAAAATGTAAGCTCGGCTTCAAGCAGTCTCGGACCTTGGTCTCAGGTTACAGTGTTTGCACACCTGGGGCAGAGCAGGGACCGGACAGGCTGGGGACAGGACAGGGCTCGGCACCAGGACGCTGACAGGTCAGTGTTTCCTTGGCATCTGCCAGCTGGGAACAGCTGACACCTGATGGAGAGAGCTGGGAAGTGCCAGGATTTCCCAGGCACTTTCTCCATTTGCATGTTTTTCAACGCAAGAAGCATTTGCAGTCAAGATTACTAATTATTCCAGCTTCTGTTAATTTTTTTTTTTTTTTTTTGTGACTTTAAATACAGAAATACAGTGTTAATGGCATACCTCTGCTTCAGACTCGGTCCAAACTGGGCACTTTTTGGATTGCCTAGTTTTGCCCTGTATTCTCAGGCATGCTCAGTATCTCTGGGGAAAACAAATAAAATAAAACCAACCCAGTATAGGTATTTTAAATTTCTCTTTCCTCTGGGAAAAACAACCAAACCCAACCCAGTGTAAATATTTTCACAGGTTCTTCAGTTTGGTATTTCATTCTGTGGTACAAGAGGGGCAGTGCCGATGGAGCAGAAGGTGAAAAGTCAGATGCCAAATTCCCAGGATTTTAGTTTCGATGAGCATCAGCCTCTCGCTCACGGAGGATCTGATTCACGCTGTTCTGCTGGGAGGAGCGAGCAGCAGCTCCGGGGCGTTGTTCAAGGGAGAAATCCGAGTTTGGGAAGAGCAGGGGAAACCCTGGCCAGGCCCAGGAAGATGCAGCGCTGCCGGCAGGATCCCCGGTTCCTCCCCCGTCGGGATGAGCATCTCTGGTCGGGAGCGCCTCCCGGCCGCCAGGGATCACTGTTGTCCCTTCTCCGCTTCCTCACTGCAGAAATTCCGCCCTCCCTCTGCCGCTTTCTGCTCCCGGCTTATTCCGGACACAGCAGACGCAGAAACGCTCCTTTACACGCGCGTGGCACAGTCAGGAGCGCGACTTGGGGAAATAAATTTACCTTTATGTTTCAAATGTTTTTTAATTTCTCAACAAAGGAGTGCAAAATATTCCATACGTGTTTAGGTGTGAGAAATCTTTGTAGCAGGTCACATAAGGTACAAAACCAGCTCACGGCTTCCAGGCCATCAGCTCTTTCTGTCCTGTGGGTGTCTCTGCACAGCTGTGGAAGTCCAACCACCCCTTGGCTGTCAGAAGGGCAGAGGAGCTGAGGATATCTGCTGCCCTGCTGGCAGGGACACTGTCCCCTCCCCGGGCAGTGGTTTGACACAGAGGAGGTGAGGCTGCTCTGCCCAGGAGCATCCCCCTGCTTGGACATGCCCGCACTGCACGAGTTTGGGGACAGGCAGGGCCAGAAGACACCTGGTGAGATGTGAGTGACAGATATCGTGCTCCCCAGCACCAGCACATCTCCCAGTTTAACACCTGACACATCTGGAGATATGCACCAGAGATGGCTGCTCAGGTGGTACCTGTGTGTGGATACACACCTGCCTGAGCCTTGGGGATTTCTGTCACTGTTCTTTCTCTGACTCCCCCTGTGTCACACAGGAATGGGCAACGTCTGTCTCAGGCTGTGACAACAGGGAGGAGCTGGACAGATCAGCAAGGCCCCTCTCTCCTGCTGGCAAAGCAGCTTTGTTCCCAGAGCAGGATGATCCTGACTGGTTTAGGTGCCCCTTGCTCATGGATCAGCAGCTGGTGTTCAAAAGGAACTCAGTTTCAGACACAGGTTCTTGATTGCATTAGGCAGAAGCAAAGTTTTATTAGAAACATTTTTCAGCAGCAGGTACATAAGTGATCATAGCCCTGGCTGACTACAGCAATAGTCTTGGTGCTGGGCCACACACAGCAATACAGACTGAAAAGCAAATAGCAAAATAAAGCAGAATGTGGCTCAATGCTCTGCTCATCCCTCTGACACATTGCTTAGCATGGCTGAGCAACAGACGAGCACGCTCCGTGCTCTCTGCAGACACATGCACTAAATATTCTCTCTCTTCATCTGTAGCTCTGCTTCAGGCTTCTCTTGTTGGATATTCTCGTTTCTCTGCTTAATCACAAATCCTTCGGCAAGGCACTGGAGAGATCAAAGGAAACATTACTGTGTTTATAGCAAAAATAGATTCTTTCCCACACTGTCATTCTCTGCACGTGATCGTTTCACAAGCCAATTCAATTAGAATTTCAGATAAATACTGCCCCTTCCTGGGAAGATCTGATGGCTCCTGCCAGCCTGGCAGATGGATCTGTCACTGGCTGCAGCAGAGGCTGCATCAAAATGCCAAAAGGTGGAAGCTGCAGACACTGCTCCAGCAGCGATCTGGATGAGGGAATGGCATTGGGGTCCATGCTACATCAATGCCCCTGCTCACGTCATTCTCCTGGCCCAGCTGTCACTATATTTCCTTCTTTCCTTTTCAGCTTGGCTGGAAGTTTTGCTTTGAATGAGGGCTAGTAGTTATCTGCCAGTATTCCCATGATTCCTGCCCTTCCTTTGCCCACTTGATTTCTGAGTACCTTTCTTTTTCCTCCTCTTTCCTTTATCCCTCATTTCACGTCAGTCCTTTCCCCAAGTTCTCCATGGCTTGTCTGCCTGCTGGCTCTGTCCCTTCTATCCCTCTTCCCTCTGGCAATTTTCATGCATCCCAGCAGAGTCCCAGCTCCCAAAATCTCTCCTCTCAGCCACTCCTCTGTGGCTCCTGTCCTGTATTTCCCAAGGGCCCCACAATAAAACTTTCAAGTAGCACCTGTAAGCTACATGGGAAAGATCTTCCAGCCCATCAGTGCTGGATAGAGCAGAGAAGACTGGAAATGTTTAGAGTGGAACAGTTCTTACCTTGGATCTCCGCAGCTGCACAGGATGGGATCTGGGCAGACGAAGTGTAAGTGTGGCTTGTCCTAATGATGCCTCCTCCTCCTATCCCACTGCTTCTTGCAACTCCTCCTCCTAGACTTGAAGACTGACCAATTCCTCCTTGCTGACTGAGGAGACAGGAAAATGACATTTTAGTGACAGAAATAACAGATAAGCTAGAGTTACAGATTGTCAGCACCCCTGCTGCTCTCAGTCTGCTTCCATTTTCAGCAGAAAAATGTTGCAATTCTCCTTGTGGCACCAACAGCACAGGAGAGGAAGCAGTTCACCACCCTGACACCAGGCAGGCCAAACAGTTCAGTAAGGCAGAATGAGCTCAGCAGGTCCTTCACTTTGCTCTTATGTTGAAATAACGAGGACACAGATATTTTATTGTATTTTTTTGGTGTGTCCCAAGCCCACTTACATAAGGTCCTGCTGGCCGCCCTCCAGCAGGCAGCGGTACGTGTGGATCTCCTGCTCCAGGCGGCACTTGACGTCCAGCAGGATCTTGTACTCTTGGTTCTGGCACTCCATCTCTGCCCGCAGGTCACCCAGCTGCTGCTCCACGCAGGTGATCTGGCTCTGCAGCTCAGCAAGGTGGTTGTTGTAGCGACACTCTGTCTCCGCCAGCGAGGACTCCAGATTGTCCCTCTGAGGAGAGACATGGGACATAAGACAAATACAGGCAGGAGAAACACTGCATTTAGCTATGACTTCTGTGAGATGGATGAGGTTTGTACCAGCTCATCACCCACCTGGCTGAGCTGAGCTTGGAGATCGATTTCCAGGGCTTGCAATTGGCGTCTCAGTTCAGTCACTTGGTTGTTGCACGTCTCCACCTCCTGACCGCTCGTAATAACCTCCCGATTCACCTCCTCAATCTGAAATCACCAATCCAGGATAAAGAGCTTTAGGCATATCTGAGTAAGCTGGATTTGCTTTTACAGGAGCAGAACATGGTGAGTAAAAGGGAACAGGGAGCAAGGCAGGTTCTCTGTGCATAGGGTGTTCCCTACCAGCTCCCCTGCTTGTTCTTTTTACAAATCCCATTAACCTCGTGGCTATTAAATCGCTTTAATCCAAATGTGGAATATCTCTGTTCCAACAACACACCACAAGGCCTTGTGGCAAATGCTGCTGTTCCAGATGGGACATAACAAACTGGTCAGACAGGCCTGTGGCTCCTGTGGAACACAGGGTATAATAAGTGCTGCTCTTGGGCTTCACTGAGAAGGAAGAACTGCTTATTGTCTCCATGTCTGGTCTCTAAAGGCTCCTGGGCCCGGGGCTGTATGTGTCAGTCTGGGTTGCAGCACAAGTTTGGTTTGTTGCTTACCTTGCACTCGTACCAATCCTCGACTTCCTTGCGGTTGCGCGCTATCAGTGTTTCATACTGGCATCTCAAATCCTCCAAGATTTGCCTGAGATCTGGTCCCGGGCAGGCATTGACCTCCACACTCACATCTCCAGTTGATTGCTTCCTCAGGCAACTCATCTCCTGGAAATAAATCGCAGATCAGATCATACTGGTTTTTGGAAGGCAGCACAGAAGAGCAAATCTCAGTGGCCAAGAACCGCCCTCGCTGTGAGACCTTCCTCCCTGCTGTGGCTGTGCAAATGTTTTTCCAGGGAATCTGTTGGCTAATTTGTTTCTTCATCCACTGCCGTCAGCAGCAGCTTTCCCCTCTGGCATTCCCAGTACAAGCACAGCCCCTGCCAGATCTCCCTTCCCTTCTGAGGCAGAGTGCTCTGAGCCCCAGAAAGTTGGGTGGGAAAGCTGTGGTCCGAAAGTGGATAATTCACATTCCAAGCACAGTGGCAAAGCTTTCTGCCAGGGCCATGATGCAGGGCTGGGCAGGACCTACCTCCTCATGGTTCTTCTTCAGGCAGCAGAGCTCCTCCCGCAGCGACTCCAGCTGTGCCTCCAGGTCAGACCTGCACAGCGTCAGCTGGTCCAGCACCTGGCGCAGCCCGTTGATGTCGGCCTCCACGCTCTGGCGCAGCGCCAGCTCCGTCTCGTACCTGTGTTGGGACATAAAGCACAGATTCAGGATGGGGACGTCCCACATGGCTTCTGTTTGGGCCAGGATCTCCTTCCCCAGCTCCATGCTTTGACCTGCATTTTGCTGGGTTTCTGCATGCCTTGGATTTCTGCACCACTTCGTGTCTGTTAAGCTTTTCTTCCTTGTGGCTTTTTTTTCCCCTGCTCCTGCTCACTGTATATTTGGTGTCACTTACTCAGCTGCATTTCTGCTTTGTTGATCCCATCTGTGCTGGTCTGGGGTGAAAATGAGCCACTCCCTGAGCTGCCTGTCCCCAGCCTCACCACAAACGCCGTTGCTAAATGTTTTACCCAAGAACACTAATTAAGGGAGGGCTGGTGACCAGGAGCAAAATGCCTTTCATCATCCTGCCCTACCGAAGTGGCGTGGGGAGATGTGTCTGGAGCCTCTGTAATTAGGGCTCTGAGCCTCCCAGGGAGGGGGAAAGGAACGGGGGGAGGCAGCAGGTTCATAGAGGGGCACTCACTTCACACGGAAGTCATCAGCAGCCATCCTGCTGTTATCAATGTCCAGGATGATCTTGTTGTTATCAATGGTTGCGCAGACAATCTGGAAAACAGCAAACCATGAGAGATGTCTCCTCTCTGCTGTTCTACTCTATAGGTTTTTCTGCTTTGCAATTAGGTGGGAACTCTTCACGTTTTCCTTTTTCTGTTACCTTCTTACATAAGTAACCTTGTCCCTTAAGGAGAGAAGTTGAAGGAGGTGGCTTTGCCTCCTTTACTCACAGAAGAAAGGAGATCAGCCACACAGAGCTGGGAATTAAAGAGTTGTGGGATGGGACTTCCCAGTTTCAAGATCTGAAGGCAAGTTCCAAAGATGCTTCAAAAAATAAACCTAAAGAACCTTCCTTAAGATTGTAAATCTCAACTGACATTCAAGCTGGAATGTTCTGGCCTTCAGATTTAAGGACTTTCAGGGAGCATGGAGGGAAGGGGTCTTTAAGCCTTAAGATCTGCCATACATTTCATTGTGGACTTATTAATGTCAGGCTGTTTGTGTCACTGTGACAATCAGTTTCAATTCTCAGCTTTTTCCATCTAGAGATTTATAATCTTTCATTTGATTGCATTCAAAGTGTATGTTTTTATTGTCCCTTAGTTTGCATTGCTCTCCCTGTGGGGCTGACACCACTATATTTTCTCGGAGTACATCGGTTACATTTGCAATTGTATAGTCACATACAATTTACCAGACCATCCTTTTCCTCTTTTAGAGCATTCTCCCACACTCATACCACCTTGCAGCACCCACACTCAGCAATGTCATAGGGGAATTTGCCAAAATTTCTGTTTGCAGAGACATTCACAAGCACCAGAGTTCCCTCCCACAACTGCAGTAGATTCTAAACACAAACTCAGGAATAAGCTTTCCAAAGGGGAGGAACAACCTGAGGGGGGCTTACCTGGTTCTGGAGATCTTCAATCTCTTTGTAGTAGCAGCTGTAGTCGCGGGGCTCGCAGGAAAGGCCCTGTGTTGCGTACCACTCTCTGATCCTGCACTCCAGCTCAGCATTCTCCTTCTCCAAGCACTTCACCTTGTCCAGGTAGGAGGCCAGGCGGTCATTGAGGTTCTGCATGGTGACCTTCTCATCGCAGGATGAAAGCAAGCAGTCGCCACCAAGACCCCCAACAACCACACCACCTCCGAGGCCAAACCCGAGGCCATTGCCATAGCAGTTGCCACCTCCATAGCTCCCACCAGCCAAGCTCCCAACACTCAGTCCCCCTCCATAATTCACTCCACCGCAGTAGCTCCTTCCAGAAAAACCTCTGCCACTGCCTATGCCAAAGGAAGAAATCCGTGCTCCACCACCACCACCACCAATGATGCAGCTGCCACCGCTGCTCCTGCCTTTGCTAGACACAGTAATGGTCTCCTTAATGTTGCAACTCATGGCGACAGCGGTGGGAAATGCAAGCAGAAGCCCAAAGCAAGATGCACAGCTTGATACGAAATCAGACTGCGAGCTGGCCCTGGCCGCCCATCCCTATTTATACCTTCCACAGTGGGTGTCACCTCTGCTCCTTCTTCCCATAAGGCTGGCTACTCCAGCCATTGGTGCCAAGAATAATTTCTCAAAGGGAAGTTTCCTTTCAAGAAGCCTGGTAGACAAGGAAGATGCTTTACATGTCTCTTGCTAATTTCAAAAATACATTAGCAATAATGTTTTATGAATCATCAGCTTTTTGTTTATGATGCAAACTTACAGCGTTAAGCCAGGAAAAACACTGTCCTAAATTACATACCAGGAAGAAATCATTAAAGGTTATTGCATCAAAGAGGTCTTTATCTCTCATTAATTTATTTTCATTTTATTTTGAGTTGAATAAGCAGTTTTCATGCAAGGTGCTGAGGTTGGAATATGTAAGATGAAAAAGAAAGAAGAAATACTAAGTTTGCTTTTCGAGTGATGTATGAAGAATGATGTAAGAACTCTGGAAAGATCAGAGACACAGAGATTAACCTTTAAATCTCTCCACTGCCAAGATGACAAATCTGAAACACTCTGCTGTGAGACAAGTGAGACCAAGGAGGGAACTCATAATGGGCACGGATGAAAGGTTCTTCATACATGATTGTGGCTCTCCAGTAATCCACAAAGGATTTGTTTTATTATGTGGAGTGTGTAAAGGAAGGTAAAAGTGCTTTAAGTATTTCCTGTTGTTCAGTGAAAGATAATTTCTGCACTTCTCCTCATTATGGGTTGTTATTGTTGCTGGGAAAGGGTGGGTTTGAAATACTGGATGGGAGTGGAAACATCCTATGGCCAATTTCTCTGTCAATACGTGCTGCATTTTAATCAGAGCTTTGGGATTGCTGTTCTGGGACATATAAAGACAGAACTGCTGATAGAGCTGCAGAGCAGTCATTGCCCTGTGGAGTTCTGCCTGGGCTGGAGAAGCTGGATTTGGTACAAACTAGAGACTGTCTATCAGTAATGTTTCCAAATCTTAATTAAGCAAAGAAAATAAAAAGTAATAATCCTTTCACAGTCTTGTAATCAAAATTCAGGCTAAGCCTCTTTTCTTGAGATGTTTTGCTGAGGTTCCAGAGCACTGGCCTTCTCCCTAGGGAGCCCCTTTCCAGTGGCCATGGAGCAGGGGACAGGCATTCCATGGCTTTCTGAACCCAGCTCTTCCTTGTAAGAAATTCTCCAAATCTCCTTCACCAGGGAAAAGTGAGCTCAAACTCTTGCTGAAATCCTCACTCAGTGTCAGCATTGTGGATTGTGGATTGAAATAGCTATTGTTTCAATTGTGGATTGAAATAGCTATTGTTATGGCAGGTAAATGATCCCTTTACCTAAGGACTGACTTTCCTCAGTATTCATGGATTTACCCATCACTTTATTGCTCTTATTCTTATTTCTGTTAAAAAGATGTCTCCCCTTTTCTTTGCCTCCTTGGATGTTCCTTATCCATGCCATGAAAGGCAGAAGCATTCCAGTGATCTCTCCAGCAGGCTGGAGACAGGTGAGGAGAGGCTTCCCACAGTGATTTACTTGCAGCTGGACCCAACACAGTGCCTGCACATCAACCTACCCTCCCCGACACACTGGGCCTCCCTCTGGCCCCAAACCACACAGAAATAAAGCTCAGAACAGCTAAAAGCTCAAATAAAGTTTATTGCGTATAGGAAAGAATCACCAGATTTCATAGCTAGGACTGGAGAAGATAATTGGGAGTCAGGGTGTGGTGGCAGGAGCAAACCGAAACTGCTGAAAGCTGCGTCGCTGGAAGCTTCGCCTGCTCTGCGGATGATTCCTCAGGAATTTCCCAACAGCTGCGTGCAGCCAGCATCTCCTGAGTGAGCACACATTCCTCCCCCAGCCCCGCAGTTATCACCGGGCACATCAGTGTAGCTCAGGCAGAAACACGGGATGACTTGTGCTCCGTGGGAGTGGAGGGTGTCTGCAGGCTGGGGATGCTCCTGCTCCTCAGAGACACTCGGTCCCCTCTGCCCCTCACAGCTCTGGGTGCCTGCAGCAACCCCCTGTGCCCAGAGCTTCTCCTGCACACACTTCCCTCTGTCTTGTTATTTATCCTGTTTGTCTCCAGGAAATGAGGGCACTAAGACAAAACTAAGTAATTGTTCCTTAAAAATTTAAATTAAGCTTTCCCTCATGTTTTCATTCAGTTATTTGAACTCATGAGCTTCCTGGGTCTGTCTCATCAGCACAAAGAAATAGGAAAATCTTATGGAAATGTAGCTTCCAATGTTTGCAGCTCCATAATTTGCAGCTCTTTAATAAATGAAGTGTTTCCAGGGTGTTTTCTGCTGGGGAACTGTTAATCACAACCTGCCTCTCCTGAGCTGCCTTCAGGACTCAACCCAACTTGTAGGTCCACAAACAACATCAGAGCGTCCCAGAAGCTGAGGCTGTACCCCCCCAGGGCCTTTCCAGAGGCATATTCATAATTTCTGGATCATTAGAGGCTCTTTCTGACCGTGTCATTAGTTCTCTTTCACCTCTCAGGAATTCAGGACAGCTCCTTTATGAAAGTGCATGCTTTGGACCTGCTGGATGTGGTGGAAAGGGTGGGAAGGTCTTTGATATGAGCCCAGGGAATCTGGAGGAGCAGCTAGATGTCAGTAGCAGTTCGCAAGAGGAGGAACCAGCCCACAGCTGGTGGGAATCAGCTGGGGCTGCCAGGAGAGACTGGGAAGCTTTTACATACCACAGGTAGCCAAGAGTTTCCAGAAGAGTGCAAACTGGAGGAGTCTCAGTGCGGTGTCTTTGTATTTCTAGAAACAAGAGTGTGAGGACTCAGATTGGGAGGGATTGAGGCTAAAAAGGGCAGCAGTGGGTTATGTCACTGTCTGTCTTTGCACTGAACAAGGCAGGAGGAGACAGTGGGAATGGAAAGGGAAAGATTTGCTTTTTAACTTCTCAGCCAGAGCTCTGAGAACAACAGGGATATCCGCTGGAGTCCAACACAAGGGAATTTGCCATTATAGCCACAATTTGTATCTCTTGATCTCTTGTGAAGCACTGGCCATACATGCCTACTGAAAGAATTCTGCATCAAGTCTGGGACTTCATGCAGGGCTGGAACTGAACTTTAAATAATGCTTAATTTGTTTTGGTTTAAAAACTTCTACCTTTGGCCACTCCTCTGAGTCACTGCAGGTGTTCCAGCACTGCATTATCTTGTCTTGCCCATGGATACTATTAGTGTGTGGTAGATGAAATAAAGAAATATCACTGAAACATCTTCTCTCTGTGGCCTCTCACAACAGGAGAAGGGCACCTTTCACCTTCTCCCTGAGACATTAGGGGTTGAACTTCTTCAGGCACTTGCTCCCATGTTAAATTTCTGTTTCATCAGAGAAATTGGTGTCTTTATAAAAGAACTGGCAGTAGAAGAGTGTGCCACACTACACTGTATGTCCAGTCCTGAAGTGGTTTTGTCTTTGTACCTGTTCTCCTCCTGTCCTGAGTCTGGCTGTTCCATAATCTCCAGCCTTTGATGGAAAAGGAATAACCAGGAGTTTTGCTTTACTGGGTCATCTCACAGGTGAATGTGACTCTGTAACAGGCACACCACTACCAAAACCACCACTGCTTGGCTTTCTGGACCAACAATTTAATCCTCAAAACAACTTCATAACACTTTGAACTGCCAGTTCTCCAGACCCAGAGTGACTCTGCCAGCTCAGCGTGGCCCACGGCTGCTCTGCAGGTCAGGGCCAGGACAAAACCAGCTCAGCACCAGCTGCTGGTCAAGGCCAGGGAGGGACTGACCTGCCTGGTCTGTCACAGTTGGGTGGCTCTGGGTGTCCAAAGGCCTTGCCTGGCTTTTTTCTCAATTTTATTCTCTGATAAGCTGCACCTTTTCAGTTCCCACCCTGCCCTCTGCAGCTTCCCAGACAAGGTGTGTTTAACACAGAGATGATCTTTCAACCACTCTCGATGTTCAGGTTGAAACTCTTGGCAATCAGAGAATGACCAGTAAATGACTCAGTCCCTGTGTGAAAAGAGAGGAGATAAACCTTTTGCCTGCAGTCCTTTTCCCATTGTGAAGATTCCCATAGAATGAAAGGGATAGGTTTGAACATAAGCCATGTCAGCAGAAATGGAATCAGTTGTGGACACCAAGATTTCATCGTCAACAGTCCCCAGGCTGGGAGATAGAGCATGAGAGTGCTCAGCCCAGATCTGTCAGCACTAGACTGGGACCAAGGCAAACTATCTTTGGATGTTCCATCACTGACTTTCAAAGTTCTTCCAAAACTGTGTTTCACCCAATGCTGTGTGGGAAGGACACAGGCCTGTCCATGGGGGTCAGGGCAGGCATCACACAGGAATGGGCAACATCTGCCTCAGGCTGTGACAACAGGGGGGACAAGCTGGATGAGACCTGCCAGGTCAGCAAGGCCCCTCTCTCCTGCTGGCAAAGCAGCTTTGTTCCCAGTGCAGGAGGATCCTGACTGGTTTAGGTGCCCCTTGCTCATGGATCAGCAGCTGGTGTTCAAAAGGAACTCAGTTTCAGACACAGGTTCTTGATTGCATTAGGCAGAAGCAAAGTTTTATTAGAAACATTTTTCAGCAGCAGGTACATAAGTGATCATAGCCCTGGCTGACTACAGCAATAGTCTTGGTGCTGGGCCACACACAGCAATACAGACTGAAAAGCAAATAGCAAAATAAAGCAGAATGTGGCTCAATGCTCTGCTCATCCCTCTGACACATTGCTTAGCATGGCTGAGCAACAGACGAGCACGCTCCGTGCTCTCTGCAGACACATGCACTAAATATTCTCTCTCTTCATCTGTAGCTCTGCTTCAGGCTTCTCTTGTTGGATATTCTCGTTTCTCTGCTTAATCACAAATCCTTCGGCAAGGCACTGGAGAGATCAAAGGAAACATTACTGTGTTTATAGCAAAAATAGATTCTTTCCCACACTGTCATTCTCTGCACGTGATCGTTTCACAAGCCAATTCAATTAGAATTTCA